GCTGATGAGAGGGGCCAGCCTTGCGACCTGGGGACAGGAAGAGCACTCCGGATAGAGGGAAGAGCAGGTGCAAAGCCCAGAGGCAGGATCTCCCTGGGCAGAGTAACAATGGAGCCCTGATCTTCAATGCTGCTTGTTGGCGGGGCACTTAACACCCTTGATGCATAGTAGGCTGAGAATCTCATTGTTCAGCTCCGGGCCCCACTTCCTGTTTGTAAATAAGGCAGTGGCAGGACCGAAGCTTTGTTGGGCTGGAGGTTGTCAAGTTCAGTCTTCTGATATTCCGAGTAAGGAAACTGAGGCCTATAGAGAGGGCAGCGTCTACCCTGACCCCACAGCTGGTAGGCAGGGGAGCAGGATTTGAACTAAGACCATGAACTCCAGGGTGCTGTTTCCTTCCTCTGGGCTGCGCTCCTGGGCAGTCCGGGTATTGCAAGGCTTGTGACCAGGTGACCCCAGTCTCGGCCTCTGTCTCCACATGTCCCCTCCCCTGTGTTTGTATGTCCTCTCTCAAAAAGACACCTGGGGGTGCCTGGGTGGCTCAGTCAGTTGAACATCTAACTCTGGGTTTTGGCTCAGGTCGTGATATCACGGTTTTGTGCAGTTCAAGCCCCGTGTCGGGCTCTGTGCTGGCAGTGTGGAGCCTGCTTGGGATTCTCTCTCTGTCTGTCCCTCCCCTGCTCGCACTTGCTCCGTCTCTCTCAAAGTAAATTAAATAAACTCTGTTTAGTTATTAAATTTAAAAAAATGTTTATTTGCTTTTTGAGGGAAAGAGAGAGACAGAGCGTGAATGGGGGAGGGACAGAGAGAGAGAGGGAAATACAAAAACCGAAGCAGGCTCCAGGCTCTGAGATGTCAGCACAGAGCCCAACGCAGGGCTTGAACCCAGAACTGTGAGATCATGACCTGAGCTGAAGTCGGATGCTCAACCGACTGAGCCATCCAAGCGGTGGCTAAATTAAACTTAACTTAAATAAACTTAAAATTAAATAAACTTAGGGGGGCCTGGGTGGCTCAGTCGGTTAAGCGTCCAACTTCGGCTCAGGTCATGATCTCACGGTTTGTGGGTTCGAGCCCCGTGTCGGGCTCTGTGCTGACGGCTAGCTTAGAACCTAGAGCCTGTTTCAGATTCTGTGCCTCCCTCTCTCTCTGACCCTCCCCTGCTCACGCTGTCTCTCAGAAATAAATAAAACATTTTTAAAAAATAAACTTAGATAAATTAAACAAATTTATATTATTAAATTAACTAAATTAAATTCAATTAGCTAAATTAAGTAAACTTTGAAAAACTTACATAAACTTAAAAAATAAAATAAATAAACTTAAAAAAAAAAACATTTAAAAGGGGTGCCTGGGTAGCTCAGTCTGTTGAGCGTCTGACTCAGGTCATGAAGCCAGGCTCTGTGCTGAGAGTCGGAGCCTGGAGCCTGCTTTGAATCCTGTGTCTCCCTTTGCCCTTCCCCCACTCAAACTCTGTTTCCATCTCTGTCTCTCCCAAAAAGTAAATAAACATTTAAAAAAGTTTTTAAGAACATAAAAAAAAAAAAAAAGATACCTGTCATTGGATTTAGGTTGCTCTGGGGAATCAGGATGACCTCATCTCATATTTCCCTTAATTACATCTGCAAAGACCCTACTTCCAAATAAGGTCACGGTCTGACGTTTTGGGTGGACATGAATTTTTGGGGGACGCTCTTCAGCAAGTAGATACCATCATCCTTACGTTCCAGGTCCTGAGCTTCATGCTGGAACCATATCCCTGGACACACCAGACAGAAAACCTGGGTGCTCACGCTCATAGAAATTAACAAAAAAGTTCAGGAAATCAGTAAAGGAAGATGACGGTTTTAGATTGTGCAGACTGCTCTGAAGGAGTAAAACAGGGCCTGGGAGTGTATCAGTCACCCATGAGTTCCATGGCTGCGTAACAAATTACTCTAGAACCTAGAGGCTTAAGACAGTGATCAGTATCATTTCCTGTGACTCTGTGGGTCGAGAAGTCAGATGTCACCAAGATGTCACCATCTTATCTGCTCTGCTGTGTCCAGAGTCTCAGGTGGAAGACTCAGAATCTGGGGCCAGAATTACCCAAAGTTTTATTCACTCAGACACGTTGTTAGAACACCCATGCGGGGCCTCGCCATGTGGTCTGGGCTTCCTTTTCTTACAACTTGGTGCTAGGTTCTGAGGGCCAGTGTCTGGGGAGAGTGTGAGAAGGTCTGCGGGCCTGGAGGAGAGGTGCCGGCTCGGTGCCCCCCTGTCTTGGAAGTCACACAGCATGACTACTGCCACGTTCTCTTCATTAGAAGTGAGTCCCTGAGTCTGCCCACTCCCGAGGGGTGGGAAAATAGGCCCTGCATTTTGAAGGGAGACTGTCAGAGAATTTGCAGGCATGTTTTCAAACAGCCATAGCGATCCAAGCTGGGCAGTGCTGGGAAGACGTCTCTAGGCAAGGGACATTGGAGCCGAGAGGGAAAGGATGTGTAGGAACCCTGATGAGGGGTCTGGGGCAGAATGTTTCAGCAGTGGGATCCGGATCGGCAAAGGTCCTGGGGCAGGAAACTTTTGCCGTGCTGAAAATCAGTGAAGGAGGTGAGAACAAGCTGGAGGAAGAGAGGGTGATGAGGTGGGCAGACCGATGGGGCTGGGGCGGGTTGGGCCTCACAGGCCCTCTGGAGGGTTAACACATTTTTTTCAAAAGATTTTATTATGGAAGATTTTGTGCCTACCAAAGCGGAGAGAATAATGTAATGAGCCCATGTGCCCATCCCCCAGCATCCATGACCTTCACATGGTCTCTTGCTTGTCCCCATGCACTTCCTCTGCTGTCTGAGCCCCGTGGGCACATCCTTTCACCTATTAGTGTTCCAGAGCATATTTCTGGAAGGCAAGGACCCCCCCTCCTTTTTAACCCTGCTGCAAGTCCGTCTTTGTGAGTTGTTTTATTCATTTTCATCGTAGTAAAGCGTACACAACATTTTCCATTAGTGACCTTGAGTACATTCACAGTTGCAGAATGCCACCTCTATGTAGTTCCAGAACATTCCCATCCCGAAAGGGAAACCCTGTTCCCATGAGCACTTACTCCCCCTCTCCACTCCCCCCAACCCCTGGTAGCCACCAATCAGCTCCGTTTTCGTCCATTGTTTTTGCAGCGTCACATATAATGAAATGCATCCATTCTAAGTGCGCATTTGGGGTTTGGACAGAGGTCCACACCCAGGTAACCGCCACTGTCAAGATACAGAATGTCCCCATCTCCCCAAAAGACGACTCCTGCCCCTTTGGCATCAGTATCCCTGCCACCCCACCCCCAGCCCCTGTCCCCTTCCTCCACTGATCTGACTTCTCAGGCCTGGTAGCTCTGCCTTTGCGAAGCAGGTGCTCAGGTATGATGCACCAAAGACATCTGGGCCTTTGCACTGGTCGCCAGGGAGGGGTGGGATGCTGGGCTCCAGGGTCAGGGGCTTGAAAGCAGTCATTCAACCTCTGTTTACTGAGCACCTACTACGTGCCAGGCTCCTGATCAGATGCAGGCATTGCTTCCCCTGGTCACTGCAAACTGGGGCTTCGATGAGCAGGGCTCTCCGATTAGGGGTGCTCATTTACGTGGAGGCCGTTGTCACCTGACAGCAATAAGGCGGGCACCCAGAGGGAACTGGTGGGCGGCAACCTGCCCAAGACCCTTCGTTGATGCTCCTCACAGCTGTCCCTATGCCTGCGCCTCTTCCCAGGGTGGCCCTGCCCTGGGCCTTGATCACGTGTGGCAGCCCCTCCTCTTAGCAAAGGTCTTGCCGGGTTCGGGCTGGCTGCTTTCTTGGGCCGTGGGGTTCAGACCTGGCCTGGGAGCTCCGACGCCTCTCTCTCCAAGACAGTTGTCCTGTAGGATTATTTGTGGCAGGCCCCAGGAGAGCGGGGCCTTAGTCTGTCTTCACCACTGTTTCTCCAAGCCCTAGAGCAAAACAGACAGAAGTCCCTGTCACCCGGGGCAGAAAGAGATAGCCCAGGGGCAAGATGGGAAATCAGTAAGTGCTGGGTTGAAAGAAAAGCAGCAGGGACGAGAGAGGGGCGAGGAGGGGGGTGCAATAACAGATGGGTGTCATTTGAGCCAAGACCTAATGGAAGTGGGGGAGGAGCTGTGTGGATGTGGCAGAAGAGGGGTCCAGGCAGGGGACATAGTCCGTGCAAAGGCCCTGAGGTGGGAGCATGCCAGGTGGTGTGTTCAAGGAACAGCAGGAAGGCCCTGTGGCTAGAGTGAGTGAGCAAGGGGTGGGTGGCAGGGGGAGCAGCGTGGAAAGGGAGAAAGATCAGAAGAAGGATGGAGGGGAAGAAGGGTTAGGTCTGCGTTACCGCTGCGTCCCTCTTGCCCATCGTGGACCTGGCACGCAGTAGGTGCTCATCATTTGGGAGATGAATGGGAGAGTCTGCCTCTGTTGGCTACTACCTCGAGTTCCAGGTTTGGGGACACAAGCACAGTCCGGCGTTTTTACCGAGCACCTAGTATGTACCGGGCTCCTCGGCCAGTGCAGATGTGACTGCCCTGGGGTGCTCACTCTCCAGGGGTGGGGGGAACAGATCCAGTGTCTGCCCCAGCCTGGCCCTATCTGGGGGACTCTATGCTTTGATGGGGGGGGGGGGCAGTGGGCACAGTGCGGGCGCCGAACCCTGAAAGGTTTCCTGGAGGAGACGATGAGGACACCAGGCGTGGGTGGGTGGAACATGCGGAGTCCAGGCTGCAGGCGCTAGTGGGGTCTGTGGGAGGCTTTGGGCGTCCCAGGAGAGAGAAACAAGGACGATCGACGGGACTTCCGGGTTGGTTGGTAAACAGCCCTTCCTGTGCTTAGTCCCCCAAGAGACCCAGCCACCACAAGGCCCTTATTGAAGGAGGGCAGGGACCTTTTCCTCTGCTTTCAACACATGGAGATGCTGAGGCTCGGAGAGGTCTCCTGGAGGCCGGGCAGGGCGCCCAGTGACGCCGTCTCCCCCTCCCCTCCCCGCAGCGGTCTCTCTGTGCTGATCCGCGTGCGCCGGGAGCTGCGGCGCCACCAGCGGGCCCGCCACACCATCCCACGGATCTTCCAGGTGGTGGTACGGAGGCACCCTGACCGCCTGGCGCTGGTGGACGCGGGCAGCGACGTGTGCTGGACCTTTGCGCAGCTGGACGCCTACTCCAATGCGGTGGCCAACCTCTTCCTCCAGCTGGGCTTCATGCCGGGTGACGTGGTGGCGCTCTTCCTGGAGGGCCGGCCCGAGTTCGTGGGCCTGTGGCTGGGCCTGGCCAAGGCGGGCGTGGAAGCCGCGCTGCTCAATGTTAACCTGCGGCGGGAGCCCCTGGCCTTCTGCCTGGGCACCTCGGGTGCCAAGGCCCTCATCTTCGGAGGAGAGCTGGCAGCAGGTGAGGCTGGGCGCGGGTATCATCCTAAGGGGGGGGGCAGGAGGGGGAGCTGGGGCTTCCCCGGGGCGGGGAGTGGGCACGGAGATGGTGTGGTGCATCCCGGGTCTTGGGAGAGATCTTGGCCGTCCTTGACCTTGACGTATGTTTTGGGCTACAGCGGTGGCTGAGGTGAGTGGACAGCTGGGGAAGAGCCTGCTCAAGTTCTGCTCTGGAGAACTGGGGCCCGAGGGCGTCTTGCCCGACACCCGGCTCCTGGACCCGTTGTTGAAGGAAGCCTCCACGGAGCCCCCGGCACAGCCCCCAGACAAGGGAATGGATGGTGAGGCTCCGCCCCCTGGCGAGGGATGGATGGTGAGGCTCCGCCCCCTGGCAAGGGATGGATGGTGAGGCTCCGCCCCCTGGCGAGGGAATGGATGGTGAGGCTCCGCCCCCTGACAAGGGACTAGATGCTGAGGCTAGGGTGGGACGCCCCCCTCCCGCCGCCAGTGCCCACCCTGTCCCCTCATCCCCCCCTCCCAGTCCTTGGACCCCAACGCGTGCATCTCCTGCAGATCGCCTCTTCTACATCTATACGTCGGGGACCACAGGGCTGCCCAAGGCCGCCATTGTAGTGCACAGCAGGTGAGGGGGGCCCATGGGTGTTGCCCCAGCTTTGGAGAGTGACTCCAGGTCACTGACCCTTTCCCTCTGCTCTTGTTGGGATCTTGTGGACATTTCTGTCTGACCTGCCAAAACCCCACGGCCCATCCCAGGACAGTGCCGCTCCGTGCCCCTCCTCGGTCTCATGCCGCTCCCTTTAGTGGCCGCAGGGGGGTTTCAGATCCTACACCAGACCGGCCCTGTGCCAGACTTTGCTGCATCTGCCTTGGCCCTCAGAGTAAAATACACGCACGCATTGTGCACCCCTACCAATTCTGTGCTGTCGTTTTCCATCCCTCGCTCATGCCCTTTCACCTCCTTAAACTTTCTCCAATTGGCCAGGGTCCTTCTGCTCTCGGGGCCTTTGCACATGTTCTGCTCTCACCAGGGCGCTCCTTAGCTCAGCCCCCACAGCTCCTTCACACCAGGTCTCAGCTCGTGTGTCACCTCCCCACACCTCTCTGGCTGTCACCTTCAGCACCTCTCCTTTTCTCTGTTCCCTATATTCCTCCTGGCGCCTAGCAGCACCGGCAACTATGGGCTGCAGGTGCTTCTCGCGCTCTGAGCTGGTCTGGCTCTGCCTGGGTCCCTGCTGTGCCCCCCTCCCCCCCTCCACTCTACCCCCACTCCCATACCCAGGAGGACGCAAGTCCCCGTCCCTGCGCTCCCCGCCCCCTCCGCAGGTACTACCGCATCGCAGCCTTCGGCCATCACGCCTACAGCATGCGGGTGGCAGACGTACTCTATGACTGCCTCCCCCTGTACCACACAGCAGGTACTGGGGGCGGGCCGGGGCGGGGGCGGGGCAGCGCCTGGGGACTCCTCACCGAGCGCGCCCTCTGCAGGGAACATCATGGGCGTGGGGCAGTGTCTCATCTACGGGCTGACGGTGGTCCTCCGCAAGAAGTTCTCGGCCAGCCGCTTCTGGGATGACTGCGTCAAGTACAACTGCACGGTCAGGCCCTGCCCCTCCCGCGCCGCCCCCGCCTTCCACCTGCAGGTCCGCCGCTGTGCGGCGGCCACTCCCAGACCCGGGTTCTCCAGGGCCCCGGAATGGCCGCTCTGGAGGGGGACAAGGGGGCGGCCCGCGTTTCTAGAGCACGCTCTCTGTGTCTGGCCCCATGCTAACCCTTCGACGTGTAAACTCAATGGAAGGACTGCTTGAGGGTGGGCAAAGGCATCACAAAGGCCATTGTGCAGGTGGGGAAGTTGAGGCCTGTAATGCACCTGGAATGGGGCCCAGGCTGCCTGAGTTCTCTAACGTGCCGCCCTGTGCCCCAGCAGCCTTCCCTGCTGGTGACTGCAGGACAGGAGACCCGTGGGTGCAGTCGCCACCCTGTGCTGGTTAAGGCCACAAGGTGTGGGGCTCAGGTGGGGTAAGCATGAGGTAGAGGCCAATATCCGCAGTCGTGTAGATGAGGGGGTGGGCTAGGTCCCCGACGCTCCTCTCCTCTCCGCCGCGAGAGGAAGCCAGGCTGAGGATTTCAGTGCCCTGATGGGGATAGAAATACAGGTGCTAGCACCTTCCTCCAGGAAGCAGGAGGGAGGAGAGGAGAGGAGAGAATTGTCCAGGGACTGGCGAATTGGCAGGTGCCCCCCTCACCTTGGATGGGTGGGGCCCAGAGCCGTTAGGCCCGCTGCCCAGGTCACACGCTAGGCAGAGTGGGGGCTCTGGGATGCATCTCGGGAATCTCTTGGGACAGTGACCGATTTGCTCTACTTTTGAGGATTTTCCATTTTGCTTGTGGGAGGCTCTTGAGGAACCTGTTATGCCAAGGTTTGAAATGCAAATGAGGCTGTTCTATTACCTTGATTACTGAGAGCTGTGAATACAGATCACCGCCCCCGCCCCCACCCCGTTTCCAAAGTTCAAGTTACAGTGCTTCTCTTTGGGGAAAGACCTACATCAGTACCTGATTTCACTAACCAAAAGAAGTCCAAAGAGGATTTTCTCTTTTACGGAAAAAAAAAAAAAACCACACATTACAGTACGAACGTAGGTCTTTTGTAAAAGTGAAGAGGTGTTGATTCAAACTTCCAGCAAGCAGGAAATACACTTCACTTTATACCATTTCAGCTTATGAAAGTGTTCCTCGGAATTCTCTACTTCCAGGTCGCCAGCGAAGCCTGTGTCCATAAACATGGACAGAAAGTACAGGCAATTCCCAAACACTTGCACTGGCCCCAGGGGGCTTCAAACACCCCGTCCGGCCCCCTCCAGCTCCACCCACATCCCTCCTTCTGCATCATCTGAAACAACCCCCAAGAGCAGTGTGTTTCCTACATAGATGTTTCTGGAAAACCTCTGAAAGATGATGACTCTTGTTTTGGAGGCAAAATTCATATGAAAGAAACCATTTAAAAACTTTTTAAAAAATGTTTTATTTCTGAGAGAGAGACAGACCGCGTGAGCAGAGGAGGGTCAGAGAGAGAGGGAGACACAGAATCGAAGCAGGCTCCAGGCTCTGAGCTGTCAGCACAGAGCCCGGCACGGGGCTCAAGCCCACAAACCATGAGATCATGACCTGAGCTGAAGTCAGACACTTAACCGACTGAGCCACCCAGGCGCCCCTGAAAGAAACCATTTTTAAAGTGGACAGTTAGTGGCTTTTAGTACATTCACCATGTTGTGTAACCATCACCTCCAGTTCCAGAACATTCCCATCACATCCAAAGGAAAACCCACCTGTGTCAGCAGTCATTCCCAATCCCTGTCCCCCCTCCCTCCCTGCTAGTGCTTGGGCAGCCACTGATCTGTGCTGTATCTTTATGGATTTGCCTGTCCTGGACCTTTCTTGTAAATGGGATCATACACTGTGTGGCTTTTTGTGTCTGGTGAGGACTGTTTTTAACCGACTGAGCCACCCAGGGACTCCATGGTGAGGACTGTTTTTAAAACAAAAGACGCGAAAGGTCTTGAAGAGATACTTGGGCTCAAGTGTTCACAGCACCGTTATTTACAACAGTTAAAATGTGGAAGCAACGTGGCGTCCTTTGGTGGATGAACAGATAAGTGCAAGGCGGTGTGTTTGTAAAGCAGAATATTATTCGGCCCTGTAAAGGAAGGAATTCTGGCACATTCCACAACATGGATGAACTTGGAGGACCTTGTGCTGAGTGACATTAGCTGGTCACCAGAAGACAAATTCTGTATGATCCCGCTTACATGCGGGGCTTAAAGAAATCAGTCATGGAGACAGGAAGTAGGATGGTGGGTGCCCTGGGCTGGCGGAAAGGGTGGGGACCCAGCTTTTCTTGGGGACAGAGTGTCCGTTCTCTCAGAGGAGAGGAGTTCTGGTGGATGGTGGTGGCTGCCAAACAGTGTGAATGTACTTAATGCTACCGAACTGTACACTTACAAGTGCTTCAGATGGTCAATTTTATGTATATGTGAATGCAACCAAAAAGAAAAAAAAAAACAAACCCCAAGCAAACCTATAAGCTCAGTACCATCATCACAGCCAAAAAGTGACAGTGACCCCTTGGTGTCATCAGGCCTCTGGGTAGCGGCTCAATCCCCAACGTCTCACCTTGTTAAAAAGGTGGTCTTTCCCATTTCTCGAATTCTCACAAAGTTCAATTTTTAGAGGAGACCCACACATTTTGACTTCAATGTGTCTCATGGGAATCGTTTCATCTGTAGGAGCCCCATGTCCCCCCCCCCCCATCTTGTACATATTTACGGACGAAGGGAAGTTGCTTGTCCTGTAGTATTTTCCTGGTCTGGATAGGGGGTCTCTTCACATGTCGCTCTGTCCCTGGTGTTTCCTGTCCATTGGGAGTTGTTGGGTCCAGCACAGTGTTTCTCCATCATGATGCTTGCGGTACTTGGGGCTGCATCGGTCTCCGTTCTGGGGGCCGTCCTGTGACTGTAGGGTATTTTACCATCAGGAGACGTCAAGAGCACCCCACTTCCTGCCCTCCCCCCCGTCGTGACCATTAAAAATGTATCCAGATGTTGCCAAGTATTCTGGGGGGACAGGATTGCCTGTGGTCGAGAACCCCTGGTCTAGATATTTGATCAGCTTCAAGTTCAACTTTTTCGGCAAGGATTCCTTGTCCATGGTGCTGTGCCCTCCCTCTGGGAGGCCCGGCGTGTCTGGTGGTCCCTCTCTTTGTCCTTGACATTGCCATACTGCATCGGGCATCATTCACCATCTCTGGACCCCTGATAGTCGCTCTGTTTCTAAGAAGGCGAATTTCTGTGTCTAAGAGAAGGTACGCGGTAAACACTGAGGGGCTCATTACGGAACAGAGGACAGAATCCTCAGAGGTCAAAACGAGCGCCTGCATTTGGGTTCAGAAATCTCATCCCTTGGCTGTTGGAGGGGGAGACTGCTTGGCTTCTGTGTTAATTGCAGCGGTGGCCGCAGCCCCAAACAGCAGTCCATCCGTCTTTATGGGAGGCAGCAGGCTGTTATTTAGAGCCCCACTTTCGGGGCACCTGGGTGGCTCAGTTGGTTAAGCATCCGATTTTGGCTCAGGTCATGATCTTGTGGCTCTTGGGTTCCAGCCCCACGTCAGGGTCTGTGCTGACAGCTCAGAGCCTGGAGCCTGCTTTGCATTCTGTGTCTCCCTCTCTTTCTGCCCCTCCCCCCAAAAATAAACATTAGAACCAACAGATGGGCAGATGACAGGTGCCTCCACCCCTCTTCATCCCTGGGGGGCTGTGTGGTGCCTGTGTCTCTCCCTACCCACTGGGGGTGTGTGCACTTGGTGTACAAGGTCACCCTGGCGCAGGGGAGCTGCAGCAGGGTCCCTGGTCGATGACCCCACTCCCAGCCTCTGTCTGGGTGCCACCGTGCAGGCTGGAGGTCTCAGCACAGGGCATCTGCATCTGCCTCTCTGAGCTGTGACCTGAGATGTCTTTTCTTCAGCCCCGGGTCTGTCCAGGGGTTGAGGCCAGAAGTAAAGATCAGCTGTTTCCTTTCAATGTGACACAGGCTCAGGGCATGGGGGGAGTGTTATTGTCCCCCTCTGCTACCTCAGTCGTGGCTGGGCTGTCCCTCCCCTGGCCTGAAGATGACAGCTGAGAGCTGCTCAGAGCGTGGCAGGGACTACCTGGTGCTGGTTTGGAGGGCAGGACTTGGGCAGCGGACAGGAGCCAGAATCCTAACTTAAGCCCTGGCTTCTTGAAGAAGGGGATTTAGGAGCTCATGGACCTGAGAAGGCTACCTGGGGACAGCTTCAGGCACAGCATGATCCAGGAGGGCCTCTGTCTCTCTGCATTTCTTGTGTTTCTCCTTCCTCGGCATGCATCTTCCTTCCCAGCCCTACTTCTTCAGGAAGGTTCTCAGCTCAGGTAGAGCCACAGGCCGGGGCTGATTCTCATTGGCCTCATTCTGGTCATGTGCTCACCCTTGAACTGATTACTAGCTGGGGACAGACAGGGCTGGTTGGCCAGGTTGTGTCTTAGGTTCTGCCCTGGAGATGGGCTGGGCCGGGCCACAGGGGACCAGGGGAGAGAACTCACCACCTTCAGGCTCTGACCTTGCCCCGCCCTGGGCTTATGTCCTGCCTGAAGCTGATGGGCAGGCTGTTCCCCTCTGTGGATCTCAGGCCTTCATGCCCCGCGTGGAGTGTTGGGAGAAGTAAACCAATGAGCTCTGTGGTTGGCAGTAGAATACTCAGCACATGTGTTGATTCATCAGAGATTCAGCAAGCACTGTTCAGGGAATGCCTCTCCGTGGCAGTGATGTTTGACCCTAAGCCCAAGGACCCAGATGCATCCCTGGGGAAGAGCAGGCAGGTAGAGGGTACAGCATGTGCAAAGGCCCTGAGGAGGAGACCCGTGTTCCCATGTGGCACAGCATGTTGATGGGAAAGGGAGGGAGAAGAGGCAGTGAGGGTGGTGGGACCAAAGGGAATTGACCACTGGCAGAAATTTGGACTTTATCCTGTGGGTGAGGGGACGCTGTGAGCACTTTGAAGCTGTCATGATCAACTTGGAGGTTAATCCTGAGCAAGTAACTACTTCAGTCAGACTTGCCAGGATGCCCAGATTCAAATCAACCTCTATCACTTACCAGCTTTGGTCTAGTCACTTACTGGCTGTGACCCCCGGTGAAATTGGTGGTGATGGGGGTAATCCTTAGGAAGCCAAGCCACAGATAAGGACTGGAAGGAACCTAGGGTATCTGGGAGGTGACCCCACCCCCCGGGGGGTGGAGCCTTGAGACCCCTAGGGAAGGAGGGGTGCCCTGCGACCTAGGGATGGGATCAAGGAGGCAGCGTGGAGCCAGAGCTCTGGGGGACAGTGTAGAGCGGCTCCAGGCTGCCTGTGGGGTGTCCACTGCAGTCTGCCTTCCTGCCCTGCCGGTGACGCACGCGGGGGGTTCCTGGAGGCAGCGAGGGGATGGTCAGGCCGCGGAGGGGCCCCGGATACACGGACTGCATCCTCTCGGCCCCCTGTCCCCAGCGAGGATTCAGCAAGGGGGTGGGGGGCATAACCTGCCCGGGCGGGTCTGTGACCATCGCTCCTTAAGCGGGTTTTGTTGCTGACGCCCAGGGCGGAGGGGTGACCCGGGTTCTCGGGCCCAGCGTGGCCGCCCACCGCTCGCTTCGCCCTCGCCCCCAGGTGGTCCAGTACATCGGGGAGATCTGCCGCTACCTGCTAAAGCAGCCGGTGCGCGAGGCCGAGGGGCAGCACCGCGTACGCCTGGCCGTGGGCAACGGGCTGCGGCCGGCCATCTGGGAGGAGTTCACCGAGCGCTTCCGCGTGCGCCAGATTGGCGAGTTCTACGGGGCCACCGAATGCAACTGCAGCATCGCCAACATGGACGGGAAGGTGGGCGGTGCGGGCAGGCCGTGAGGTTCAGGGCTCGCTGCTACCGCTGCCTCCTTGCCGGCCCCCCACCCCAGCGCGTTCTCCAAGAACAGCCTGATCTGCTGGGAGGGCACGGCCAGGCCCGCAGGGCAGGGGACGGGGAGCTCCTGGGACTGTCAGGGCGCACGGGGTCCCTCGTGCAGCACCCATGCACAGTTAGTGGTTTGACCGTGCCCTTGAATTCAAGTCCTCAGCAAGGCTGTGTGTGCCTTGGGCAAAGGCCTCAGAATTCCTGTTTCCACCCGTGGGGGTGGTGAGGGAGAGCAGGGCTCGGAGGATCCAGGGCTAGGGTTGGGGTGCCCATCGCCTCCAACTGGCTAAGTCACTCAGGCTCCTTGGGCCTTGGTTTCCTCATCTGTACATGGGGGCCATAGCCCACTGGGTTTGTTCTAATCACCCACCCATCCTGAGCTCAGCCTGGCACCCCCAGGTGGCAGGCTCTCTGCAGATGCTTTTATGATTAGCAATGAATGTCTCCATTCTGCCTCAGCTGGACCCGGCTCCATTATCAAGCTCCTCCCACCCTGAGCCAGGCACAGATGAGGAGAGTAATAATAAAGCAAGAACCTGAGGGCCTTGATTCTTTCCTGCCTCGCTCTGTTTTGGGTCCCCAGGACCTGAGAACAAGGCAGTGAACAGACAGCCCTAGAAGACACTCCGGCCATATTAACGCAAGTGGCCGCTGAGGCGCCTGGGTGGCTTAGTCGGTTAAGTGTCCGACTTCGGCTCAGGTCATGATCACACGGTTCGTGGGTTTGAGCCCCGCATCGGGCTCTGTGCTGGCAGCTCAGAGCCTGGAGCCTGCTTCGGATTCTGTGTCTCCCTCTCTCTCTGACCCTCCCCTGCTCATACTCTCTCTCTCTCTCTCAGAAATAAATAAAACATTAAAGCACACACACACACGTGGCTGCTGTAACAAACATACCCAACAGCATCCGGCAGCACAAACCCATTAGACAGGCATTTGTGCTCATTGGACTGAGCCAGCCAGGGAGGGGGCAGAGGCTCTGCCACTGTCCCCACGTGGCTCCAGGGTTACCCCAGGCATCCCTTCCTGCCAGCGTAGAGGGTTTTATGGACCAGGAAGTGGTGAGCAGTCAGCAGGTTTCGCACATGATGGGGCCAAAGGAGGCTAGGGAGGTGGGAGGAGGGGGCAGGAGTCCTGGGAAGGAGGCCCTGCCCTGAATACCCGCTTTTTCAGATCATGCGAGGTCACAGAGTTCAGGGCACATGGGCCGCTAATTCCAGGGCCCTGGGGCAGGAGAGGCAAGATGTCTGCCGGGAAGACACCATGCCCCCCAGGGGCTCCTCACCGACTCGGCTCACTCCCCCCCCACCAGGTTGGCTCCTGTGGCTTTAACAGCCGCGTCTTACCCCACGTGTACCCCATCCAGCTGGTGAAGGTCAACGAGGACACCATGGAGCCACTGCGGGATGCCCAGGGCCTCTGCATCCCCTGTCAGGCCGGTGAGCCAGGCCCTGCCCAGTCCCCTGGGGAACGGGGGCCCCCACCCCATGCCCACCCAGCGCAGCCTGAGGGTGGCCTCCTCCCCAGGGGAACCTGGCCTCCTCGTGGGCCAGATCAACCAGCAGGACCCACTGCGTCGCTTCGATGGCTACATCAGCGAGAGTGCCACCAGCAAGAAGATTGCCCACAGTGTCTTCCGCAAGGGCGACAGTGCCTACCTCTCAGGTGAGAAGACCCTGGGGGCTGGCCGTGGGGGTGGCAGGCTGCCGTCTTACCTCTCCTCTCCCCTCTGCCAGGCGATGTGCTGGTGATGGATGAGCTGGGCTACATGTACTTCCGGGACCGTGGCGGGGACACCTTCCGCTGGCGTGGGGAGAATGTTTCCACTGCTGAGGTGGAGGGCGTGCTCAGCCGCCTGCTGGGCCAGACAGACGTGGCTGTGTACGGGGTGGCTGTGCCAGGCAAGCTGGGTTTGTGGGGGTGGTCCTAGGGTATGGCAGCCCCAGAGGAGCCCAACCTGCACGAGCTTGGAGGTACAGGTGCTCTTGGGCAGTGCTCAACTTGGATAACTGCACATGGCAATCTGGGCGGGACGCTGGATCTGGAGTTACCCCTCATGGATGATAACCCCTTGGTTTCCTTATCCAGTAAATGGGATCATGAAAGTGACGGTCTCAGAGTTGCAGGGGTGCAGCAAGAGCTCAGTAATAATAATAACGATTATTATTACTAGCTTCAGCAAGTGTTAGCTCAGATGGAAGGGACTGGAGATCAGAGAGAGACGAGGGGCTTCTGAGGGTGTATTCAGTCCTGCAGTGGGACAAAAGGTGGGGTGTTCTCAGTGAAACCTCTGTCTCCAGGAATAGAGGGCAAAGCAGGCATGGCGGCCATCGCGGACCCTCACGGCCAGCTGAGCCCCAATGTGCTATACCAGGAGCTGCAGAAGGTGCTGGCGCCCTATGCCCGACCCATCTTCCTACGCCTCCTGCCCCAAGTGGACACTACAGGTGCGGCCTCTCGCCTCTCTGTCTGTCCGTCCATCTGTCTTTTGGCTCGGCAGCCATTTGCTGCTTTGTCCCGGTTCACACCCTCGTGCTGAGTCTGACACAATGGTTCATGGCCAGCAGGCACAGTGGACTCCTCCAGGGCCCTTCTCTTGTTTTATCTGCAGCGTTCTGTATTTCCATCCCTCAGCCCCACCCCCCCTAGGCATTCTGCAGCGTTTGGTGCCTTTCTTCCATTTCTTGCATTTTGTCTGATGACTAGGACGTTTGAGCCAATCATCTCGTACCCGTGAGGTTCCTGTTCCTATAATTGCCTGTTTGTATCTTTTGCCCATCTTTGGATAACTTTGCTGTCTTCTTCTTCTTGATTTGTGAGAGTTTCTCCTCATATTCCAGATGTTAATTCCGTAGCAATTTCGGACATCAGGAGTGTTCTATTTGGGAGTCTAACCGTTAACCTGGTTTATGGGGACTTTTTTTTGAAAAGACGCCATTAATTTTGATACAAACTGAACCCCCCCCCCTTGTTTTTTAATGTTACGGTTTGTGCTTTTGAAGTTTTATTTGCCAGTAAAACTATTTACAAAACAGACGATGGGCCGAATTTGGCCCTCCGCTACAACTTGCTGACCCCTGACCTGCTGTGTGACAGACTCAGCCCTGCCTTGGTCTCAGGAGTGGACTTGTGACCAGGCAGGGAGTACACAGAGTATGCGGCTGTGATGGGGTGGTCAGGGAGGCCTCCCTGGAGGAGGGGGCAGGAAGTCAGGATCTGAAAGGCAAAGGAAAATCAGGCAGATCAAATGAGGAAGAATGTTTCCAGCCGAGGGGATGGCCTATGCAGAAGCCTGGAGGTGTAGGAAAGGACTGTGTGTTGGGGATTCCTAGAAGCCCTCTTGCTGAGTATCCCCACTCCCACCCGCCTAGGCACCTTCAAGATCCAGAAGACCCGACTGCAGCATGAAGGGTTTGACCCACGCCAGACCTCAGACCGGCTCTTCTTCCTGGACCTGAAGCAGGGCCACTACTTGCCCCTCGACCAGACTGTCTACACTCGCATCTGCTCGGGTGCCTTTGCCCTCTGACACTCCTCCTCTGCCCACTAGAGACTCCCAGCCAGGTCCTGCCAGTGAGGCTGGGGGGGCTGGCCCAGCGGCACCTGCTGGGGCCACCCTGGTGCTCAGCAGCTGGACCCCAGGAGGACCCTACAGCTCTGCTACCTTCCCGCTGGCCCCTCCACCTCCGAGCCATCTCCTGCCTGGGTCCCCGCTCCTGTGTCTCTGTGCATCTCTCTCCTCCCTGCCTCTCAGCCTCCCCCCTGGCCCACACACCCACACCTCTTCCCTCTTTCTTTTCCCCTGCTCCCTCCTGAGATCTGTGGGCACGCAGGGCCCCATGGTCCTTGGGGCCTCCGTGGCTCGTCCCTGCTGGGTTGTCAACCCAGAATGGAGCCTCCCAGCCTCTCTCTCAGCTGTGCCTTAGGGAGCCACAGTCCGGGCCTCCTCAGGCTGCTGGGCCCCAGGGTGTCAGCCCAGTCTGAACTCCAGGCAGACCATCCTTCCTCCTTCCTGAGCAGAGGAGCCTCGTGGTTTGCCCCGCCCACCTGGGTGTCAGGGGGTCATGGTCAAGGGACCTCCAGGCCAGCTGGAAATCTCTCCCAGGCTGGGCCAGTTGCCTCTTTGCACTTAACCATCGTTGGTAGGTCTCCCTCCTGTCCCCTGTCTGCCCTTCCTGATGCTCGGAAGCTTCCAGAATTGACTGTTACCCCTCGGACATTGCCCCTGCCCAGATGTCTCCTTTCAGGCGCCTCCACGGAGCTCCTGCTAGAGGAGCCTGGAAGACTGCATTGGGGGGCTGTTTGGCTCACCAGCCAGACGCTCACCCTGGCAGAGGGCTCTAGGGGGCCCCATCGGGCGCGGCTGCTGGTGGACCCACAGGAGTGGCAGCGGTGAGATGGACTTTGGAGCCTTGGGGGTTCCAGCCTGTTGGATATCCCCACTGGCTTTGTTGAGTTCAGACCTAGCTTTGGTGTGGCTTGGACATCCCCATCGACCTCATTGGTGGCTCGTCCCGGACTCCCGTTGTGGGGACTGGCCACCCAGACTCTCCGTCCCGAACCCCCCCCCGCCGCACCAGCTGCAGCACCATCCAGCTCCTCAAACCCTGGGGCCCATGTACCGTTGCACGTGGGCCCTTCCAAGCACCAAGGTTTTGTTTCCTAGTTGAATTTAATAAACCTGCAGAGTGTCCAGTGCCTGAATCCTGGTTACTTACTGTCTGTCCCCATGTGGCACAGAAGAACCCTTTCTGGGTTTCCGAAGGCAGGACTTCCACTGGGGAACTCAAGTTCACCGGACAACAGCAAGACCCACGGCTTTTCCTCGCTGCCGCCTGTTGCCCGGAAGCCCATCTGCAGGGCCTCTGGGGCCTGGGGTTGGCGCTCTCGCTGCTTTCTTGCAGCCTCGGGGGCCTCACAGAGCCCTGCACCGGCCCCAGTCCAGGGGGGGCGCCCGTGCACTCTGGCAGGTGTCCAGTGGGGCCATAGATCTGTGTAAGAGCTGCAAAGGTGGCCTAGCTGGCATTCTAATCCAGGACACCCCCTTAACCCCAACGTCTGCTGGGCCTCCCCTAGTATCATAATGTCCATCTCGTCTGGTTTCCACTTCAGAGGACAGAGAAGGAAAGGTTTGTGAGGCTTGGGCCTTGGCTGGGTGGGGGCCCCGGGGACCAGGGCCCTGGTTGGCTCGGGGCTGGTCCTTGGATGCGCGCAGTCTGCAAAGAGAAGAAGGCAGGAGAAGGGTGCCTGTGCAAGTGCATTCTGTATAACATGCCATGGGACCTTGACCGCCATGGCCCCCATTGTACAGATGAGGAAACTGAGGTGTGAGGAGGGGAATGAAGTCAGTGCCGGCAGTTCCCAGTGAGAAAGCAGGCCAGCAGGCCCTTTCTTGTTCCAAAGCCTGTGAATCCCAGCAGGGCAAGAAACCCCCTGAGCTGACAAGAAAATAATCCTGCATCAGGCTTTGTGTCTGTTTTTAATGGATTAATGATAAACTGTATCAGAGTAACTTCAGGCTTCTAAACAAAACAAAACAAAACAAAAACGGGTGGAAAGTACAGAGTTCCCATGTACTGGGTCACCCCGCACCGGTTTCCCTTACCATTGGCATCTTGCGTTATTACACGGCATTTGTCAGGATTGATGGGCCTATGTCCGTGGTCATTACTCAAGTCCACAGCGAACGTTACATATGGAAGGTGTGGTACATTCCATGGGCTTCAACAAACGCATAATGCGTGACGTGCATCCATGGTGCTAGTTTCCTAGTTTCTCTGCCCTAAAAACCCCGCGGTCCGTCTCTCCCCCCTCCTAGCCCGACTCTGGCAGCCACGGATCTTTTCACCATCTCGGATCTTTTCACCATCTCCGGGAGTTTTGTGTTTTTTCTGGGTCAGGCGCTTGGAATCACACAATGTATAGCCTTTTCAAACCAGCTTCTTAACACTTAGCAAGATGAAAGCTTCCTTCGTTTAGGCTTCCTCTAGGCCTTTTCACCGCTTGATAGCTTTGTATTGTTTATGCCTAGTGGGAAGTTCTGGGACTGCTTCCCCCCCCCATGCCACCCCCCTCCAGGAACTGTAGTTAAGTCTGGAGGAAGAGCTGGGATCAGAAGGCAAGCTGCTGCCTCAAGCGTCCTCTTTATGGAGGGGCCTTGGGTGGATGTGTACAGAGAGGATGTCTGTCCCTGTGACGCGGGAAGACTTTCGTCCTGGCCTGGCATCGGCACCTGGGCCATGACCTGCAGGGGTGGAGCGGTGGTGTGTGAGGGACAGGGAGGGAGAAGCCATGCCAGAGAGGGGGAGTTGCCATGCAGAGAGGTAGCTGCGGGCTGGAACCTTGCCTCTGGCCCTTCGCCCTTTGAGGGTCTCCCTCACTTTGGGAGGAGTCCAGGCTCCCTGGCCCAGGGTGCCATTCTATAGGCTCTTTTCTTTCCACCATGATTGGTCATTTCCCGCCTGCATCTTCCTTCTGTGCCTTTGCACCTGCTGACCTTGTGCCTGAACCATTGTTCTTACGCAGCATGCCTGGCCAGCTCCTACTGTTTTGTTTAAATGTTTGTTTAAATGGAGAGAAAACGGGGGAGGGGGGAGGGACAGAGACACAGGGAGAGAGAGAATCCCAAGTAGGCTCCATGTTGTCACCGCAGTGCCCAATGCAGGGCTCAGTCCCATGATCTGTGAGATCATGACCTGCACCGAAATGAAGAGTTGGACCCTTGGGGCGCCTGGGTGGCTTAGTCAGTTAAGCGTCCGACTTTTGCTTAGGTCATGATCTCGCGGTTCGTGGGTTCGGGCCCCGCATCAGGCTCTGTGCTGACTGCCAGCTCAGAGCCTGGAGCCTGTTTCAGAGTCTGTGACTCCCTCTCTCTCTGACCCTTCCCTGCTCACGCTGTCTCTCTCTCTTGCCTAGAAATAAATAAAACATTAAAAAAAATTATTAAAAAAAAAAGAGTGAACCCTTAACCCACACAGCCACCCAGGTGCCCCTACAGATCTGTTTTTGGTTGAGGTGTCATTCACATACCTTAAAATCTGTCTTTTTGAAGTGCCCAATTTAGTGGTGTTTAGTGTTTACAGAGTTGTGCAGCCGTCACCTCTATCTGGTTCCAGAATATTTTAATTCCCCTAAAAGAAAACCTCATACTCATTAGAAGTCTCTTTCCTCAGGCCCTTGCAGCCATGAACTGGCTTTCTGTCTCTATGGATTTGTCTGTTCTGGACATTTCATGTAAATGAAATCATACATGTGTCTTCGGTGTCTGTCTCCTTTCACTTGGCACAGTGTTTTTAAGGTTCATCCAGGTTCGTTCCTTTTTATGGACAAGTAAGATTCCGTTGTATGGATGGACCACATTTTGTTGACCATCAGTTAATGGACATTGAGTTATTTACCGTGTTTAGCGGTTGTGAACAGTGCTGCTGCGCGCATTTGTGTACTCGTCTTTGTGTGAACATATGTTTTTAATTGGGGGGGGGGATAAACCAAAGTGTGGAAATACTAGGTCATATGGTAACTATTTTGAGGAACTGCCAGACTGTTTTTCAAAGTGACTGCACCATTCTATGGTCCCGCCAGCAGCTGTGTGTAAGAGTTCCAATTTTCCACATCTTGCCCGAACTTTCTTTGGGAAATATATCTATTTCAGACAAAACATGGGCAACAAATGGACCTGGGTTTTCTCTCCAATCTGCTTCTGTGTCTCGGTTAGTTTAAGCTCCACCACGCAGCTAATTACGTAAGCTAGAAACTCAGAACTCCATCCTGATTCCTCTTTTTCTCATGCTCCTTGGCCCATCCATCAGAAAGGACTGGGAGCCCCGCCTCCAAGACAGACCCTGCACCCACGAAACCCAGCCAGCACTAGACTTGTCTAGCCCACTGGACATGGCTCCTGGCTGGCCTCCTGACTTCCACCCCATCCCTCGACCATCCCTTTATCTCGTAGCCAAAGCGGTCTTTTAAAGACATACCCCAGGCCTCTCCCCTACTCAAGCCCTCCTGAGGTTCCACTAAGGGGTGTGGCCCTTCCTTCTCTGGTCTCATCTCCAGTCTGGCCTGGATGGTGAGTCTCCAGTCATATGCCTGCCTTCTGCTCTCTCTCTAAATAAATTTTTAAAAAAGATTTACGCCTTTGTTTTCTTCTAAGAGTTTTTCGTTTCAGCTCTTCCATGTAGACATTTGGCCCATTTTAATTTTTGTTTTTTAAGATTTTAAGTAATGTCTACACCCAATGTGGGGCTCAAACCTACAGCCCTGAGATAAAGAGTTGCATGCTCTAGGGGCGCCTGGGTGGCTTAGTTGGTTAAGTGTCCGACTTTCGCTTAGGTCATGATCTTGTGGTTCGTGGGTTCGAGCCCCGCGTCGGGCTCTGTGCTGACTGCCAGCTCAGAGCCTGGAGCCTGTTTCAGAGTCTGTGACTCCCTCTCTCTCTGACCCTCTCCTGTTCACTCTGTCTGTCTCTCTCTCTCTCTCCTAGGAATAAATTTAAAAAATTTAAAAAATTAAGAGAAAAAAAAGAGTTGCATGCTCTATGGACTGAACCAGCCAGGCACCCCGATCCATTTAAATTTTTGTATATAGTGTGAGGTGGGGATCTGTATTCATTTCCCAGTGCGGATGTAACAAATTACCACACACTTACTGGCTTAAAATAACACCAATTTATTATCTCACAGTTCTTGAAGGTCAGAAGTCAGAAATGGATCTCCCTTGACCAAAATCAAGGCATTGGCATGTGCCTGCATTCCCTCTGGAAGTTGAGAGAACCCACTTCCATGCCTTTTCTAGCTTTTAGATGCCACCCACATTCCTTGATTCATTGCCTCTTCTTCCATCTTCTAACCCAGCAAGTGGGTTGAGTCTTTAGCATGCTGTCACTCCTCTGGTTCTCCCTCATCGGCTCCCTTCTTCCATTTACAAGGACCCTGGTGATTACCTGGGGCCCATCCAGGGTGTCTATTTTGACAGCTGATTTGCAACTTGCATCTGCAACCACTATTTCCCCTTGCCAAGCAACCTATCATTCACAGGTTCTGGGGATTATGGTGTAGACACCTTTGGCCGGCGTGGGGGTGGGGGTCTACTATTCTGCCACTACAGGGTCTAACTTCAATCTTTTGCATGTGACTATCTAGTTGTTTGGCTTGTTGAAAAGGCCATTCTTTTCCTATTGCATGATTCTGGCACCCTTGTTTTTAAAGATGCACTGACCATGATGGATGAGTTTATATCTGCATTGTCAGTTCTACTGCACTGATAGGTCTCTCCTCACGCCACTACCACAAGGTCTGGGTTGCTGCAGCTCTGTAGCAAGTTTGAATCGGGAAGTGTGAGTTCTCCAACTCTGCTTTTTTTCCCTAATTATCTTGGCTACCTGGGGGCCTCCTCCAATTCCATAGGAATTTTAGGATTGGCTTGTCCATTTCTACCCCAAAAAAGAAGTCTGAATTTTGATAGCCATTGGGTTGAATCTGTAGACCACTTTGGGGAGTACTGCCATCTTAACGATATTAAATCTTCCAATCCATGAACCAAAGATATCTTCCCATTCACTTAGAACTTAGGTAATTCTTTCAATTATTTTTAGTGAAGTTCTGTAATTTGCAGTGCACCAAGTTTTGCGATTCTTTTATTAAGTTCATTACTAAGTATCTCTTTTTTTTTTTTTTTTTTTGATGCTTTTGTAAATAGACTGTCTT